GTTGCAGAGTTGTGTTCCGCAAGGTCCACTTGGGGGGACTGGAAATTCGGGAACTTTTCTTGTTCCTTGAATAGCTTGGACTACTCTCCGGAGACCGCCTGATACTCGGCAGGCCACCCCATTTCGTGTGGCGAATGGGGCAGTCTCATTTCCTTAAAAGAGATTCACTTGTTTCCGCGTTTTGCAGAACTTCTTAGATCCTGGCTTGTATATCCCCCGAACCTTTGTCTTCGACGAAGTCTTAGGAAAGCGAAGCTTGAACGGGTGGTTGGTCTTGGACTCGGCAGTGGTCTTAGTTACCCCGCGGGAGCGGAGCATTCTTTTTACCGTAACCCGAATCCGCGGTAGCACATGGGTAGACCGATCCATCTGTCCCTCACGTCCCCACGATGAAACACAAGCTGCGTAACGCACCACCTGTCTCAGGTTTTCTCCCGAAGCCAAGACCTGCGCACGACTCGGAGACGTTAGCACAAGCACCCCGTAGGTCGTTGACCACCTTGAACTCATCAGAGAAATATACGCGACTTCTGGACAAAAAAGACCAGACCATGAATCGACCCGACCCAACGAACCTACACCCTAGGTTCTAGGCTTCGCTTTCCATTACGCATTGCACCGTCTCACCGTACCATCTCCCCCTCGCTGCCGTTCCCTGTCCCTCTCGTGCCTGCCCCAGTACATATATAACGACAGGTCACTCCCCCCCTCCCCCTCTCCCCTTCATTGAGCCCAACTTTCCATCCGCTCATTGCGAGTTGGAGTTGCTAGGGGGTTTAGGGGCCAAGGCAACGCCCAACCCGACGCCGAGGGCGATGACGATGGCGATCAGGATGCAGATGCCGAGGCACCACCACTTGAGCTTGCGGGCGCGGAGGGCACTAGTGGTGCTCTTCTTGATCTGGACGGTTGGCATTGTCCAGCTGCTTGGTTGTGTCCTCAGCCTTGGCGGCGACCTCGGCGATGATGGGGTCCTGCTGGATGATTTGCTGGCTGAGGATCTCGAGCAGCTCGAGCAGCTGCAAGATCGACTTCTCGATCTTGATCATGTCGTTGTGGCGCGCGCGCACGTTGCCGAGCACGGTTGCGCCGTGGCCGGTACGGTTTGTTCGGAGCTAGAGGCGAGGGGATGAGGTTAGCGGTCGTTGTTTTTGTGGTGGCACAATTGGGGAGGGCGAATACGTACAGCGGTCTGGAAGATACCCTCATCACCCCAGTCAGCGTCGGCCGCCTGCTGCACCTCCTGCTCGGTCGCCTCCGGGTTGACGATGCGGTACTGACGGGCGATCTGCTCGCGAAACCGCTGCTTGTACTGCTGCTCTTCCTCTAGATACTTTTGGATGGTGTCCTTGAAGTCGGAGTTGAGGCTCTCGAACTGCCGCTTCTTCAGCCCGAAGGTGCTGTCCGTCGTGCGCTCCGTATCGGACTTCAGCTGCTGGATCTGGCTGCGGATCGACGTGTTCTTGACCTGGGTCGCCGCTACTAGGTCGTCTAGCTGCTGCCGCGCCCCGTCGTCGCCGCTGCGAGCGCCTGCTGGTGTAGGGTCGCGATATTATTGATGCTGGTCGTCAGGCCCTGGATGTCTTGGCGAATAGCCGACACGCGCTGCAAAAAGTCGTTTTGCGAGAGGAAGTGCCCGCCGCCCTGTTGCGGGGAGAGTGCCCCATATTGTTGTTCTTGTTGCGGCGACCCATACTGATCTTCTTGATAAGGGGATCCGTACTGCTGCTGGGGTGAGCCATATTGCTGTTGAGGTGAGCCGTATTGTTGCTGGGGCGAGCCGTATGATTGCTGCGGGGAGCCATACGGCTGTTGCCCATAGTTATGCATTTCATGCTGTTCCTGTCACGCAGCCCGAGTCAGCTGCCAGATTCGATTCGCGATCCAGGGGTGTCGCCGCATGCTCTCGGTGGGTTGAAACAATCGTCCGAGTCCCAAAGCATCCCGCGCGACCCGGGGAAACACTTACTGGCTGGCCATAGCCCGCCTCGGCGCCCGGCCCTTGGTTGTAAGGGTTGTATGACATGGCCGCGCAATTGGATGGCCCTCGCTCAGTTGGACTTTTGCGGTTTCGTGACAATCGAATTATTTATGCGCCCGAGAAAGATTGAGAATTGTGGGAGTGCGCGGCTGTTTTTTTTTTTTTGTCCGACAATGACGGGAGGAAGACAGGTTGGATAAGGCGGGCGGCCAGCCTTTTTGGCGAAATTGGCTTTCCTGGGGTGCAGGCAGCTGCTTCGCCCTCCGCCTTGCTGAGAGGTCGACTGTGGCTGGCCGTCGATGGCCTGTGCCAAGAAATTTCAAGGCTTGGTCCCCACAACACGCTTACTCCATAGTTTATATCCACTCACAGCCAGAATTCATATGATGGGCCGTATTCTTGGTTCCGCAGTGCAGGGATCAGATCTCACTCTGGAACTGCACAGCTGTGCAAAAGGAACACGAGGAATTAACTACATCGAGTCCGTTGACAAACAAGACAATCGCCCAGATCACCAAAAAATTGATTAAGTTCTCGAAATTGTGTAACTAACAGGCCCAATCGCCTCCAGCTCTCCGCTCGACAGAAGGGCTTAGCCGCAGAACCTTCAACAAGATGGCGTCACGTTAACGAGGCTGAGGGGGTGGACCTGCAGGTCTCCACTTTCTGTTTTGCCTTCCCATGTTGAACTCAGCCTTGGCTTGCGTGGGCTTCAACGGCGAGGCGGTGCCGGGGTTTTTCTCCAACGGGGCACCTGCAGAATGAAATCCCGTCGCCGGTTTGAACCAACTGGAAGTGTGGCTGACTTGTCTCATTTTGTTGGTTCTTGATATCCCTCACCGCATATGGACATATCGGCTCTCATCCCATGCAGCCCCCATTTCCGAGTGATCCCCTAAAAACGGAACCGGAACTGCTGACACTGCCGGGTATTATTGGCCTGAACGACCGCAGATCTTTCCTGTCAAAACACTGGGGCATGTTCTCTGCCGCCGAGATTTCCACAGATGCCTCCGTCGGAGCCCTTTCAATTCGAATGACCGCCACCTCAACTTGGTGAACAGCGAAACAACGACAAACCGCACCAAACCGCACCAAAACAAAGAGCCGGAAGGTCGCTTTTGAGTATAGCAAGGCCATCTTTCCCCGACGTTCTTCGTGCTTTTGGACTTAGGGTATCGCGATGAGGTGGTCATAGCACGCCTGTCGGCTCAACCCATGTTTTGTGAGATGGCTTGTAGGTCTTCTGCCTGCCTCAGAAGTAATTCTTCTTCCTGCTTGTACGGGTGTATTGGCTGAGGTGCCACTCCACGTCCGCATCCTTGTTTTCTAAGGTGCCCATGGTGATGGAGAACGGCCTCATCGTGAATCGCGGGCCAACTTCGCTCAGCTCGACAGAGTCGTAACTTGTCCTCACGTACACATGATGGCGTACTTCGATGCAGTCGTCCTGATTCATGAAGGTGATGACCCTGTTGCCGGCCGTCTTGCTGGCGGTCGCGTCTCGCGGAGGGAAGAGGTGCTTCAAAACTTTGACTATCCGGCGGCCGAGTGGGGTCTGGAAGTTTTCAAAAATCAAGTGGGGGTAGCTCTCGCTGACCGTCCCTTTTATTGACCGCGGGATATCCGCTCGCAGCACCACGTTATGGAGTGACGCCATCAAGGTCGGCCCATGGGGAAAGTGGCTGATAGTGATTGCTGTTGGTGTGCCACGGTGCTCGTGGAGGAGAATAACATCGCTGAGGCGTTCGCTCTGTGCGGACCGCACCAGTTCTGGGAGGACGAGGTTTCCGCGATTCAGTCGGATCCCGGTCGGAAAGAGTAGCCGTATCTCTTTGGAGAAAGACATTAACCTAGAGCTTGGGTCTCGTGAAGTTGTCACCAGCACTCTCGGGTCTGTGTCGGTCAGCAGCTGTCCGGCAGCAGGTTCCAGTCGGCCATTAAACACGTACCTACGACACCCGACAGCTCAGAGTATTCGTCGTCAATGTCGAGTGAGTCGTCACCGGCAACGTCGCGAGATGCATCATAGTCGTAGTCCTGCCGTAACTGCTTGTCGTTCGCAATCTCTGGGGCCAACGGCTTCCCTGAAGCAAGAGCCGCTCTCAGTTGCGCCCGCTTTTCAGCAACTTCGGCATCGCGCAAGAGAACCGCTCGGCGGTAGAGGTAGTCTCTCCTCTGACGTGCTTGTTTGCGCTAAAGAGAGGATCAGCATTAAGCTTCTTAGTTCCTTAGAATAAAGGGCGCTTACAATCATCTTTGCCCCCGGTGCGCCTCAAAAAGCGAGAGGAAGTCGAGAAAGCCGGTTCCAAGACAAGATGTAAAAATTCCCATGCGAGGCTGAACAACAGGGGAGTTCAGCGCTACCTCAAGCTGTGGGGCCCGCTGCAGTGGAGGGGTCCGCTAAAAAAAAGTCGAGAGCACAGACCCTCACATTCCTTCCATGCCTTGCCGAGCCGACATGCGATTTCTCCGCCCCGCCACTTGCAACAACTCCTCGTTGCTGGAGTGCCACTGCCCGCCAAAAAATCGCAACCCACAGCACGCGGCAAGGAAACGGGAGATCGAGAGCGAAACACCAACACATCACCTACAATAGATCCGGACTGGACAATCGACATATTCACCGAGACGCGAGCTTGTGTCCGCTTATATTCCTATCAGCGATGATGTGACAGTTTCCACACCCACTTTCTCAATCCTAATTCGAAATACTGAGCCGGCATTGCCCGCCCTACATTGCAACCGAATTTGTTCTCAACAGTGGTGACTCGTAGGTTCCTTCAGCCGCCCCTTTCTTCCTTACACGCCGATCGCGCTGCCACAGGAATGCCCCGTCAACACGGCGCACCTCGACGCCCCGCGATTCAATGTTTCTACATATTTCACTAATGATTTAGTGACTGACAATCCCTCAGCCGCCACTGTCCCTCCGCTATCCCCCCGATATGGAGGGCGCTTTTACCCACCTCGGGAACCACCTCGTTTCCGATTCCGCGGCCGCCATTAAAGCTGGCGGCTCCGACGAGCTTTCGAACATCGACCCAGACGAGGGCCTGCTCTACGGCGTCTATGGAGGACGTGGTGCTCGCACCGGCCTAGGAAACGCTAGACGCCGCCAAGATGACGACGACAACGAGACCGAGGTTTTCGACGACGATGATGAGAGCTTAGCGAGTGTCCCTGTCGATGGCATGAAGGGCCTCAAATTGAACGCACCAGAGGAAGAGAAGGAGCTCCCCGCCCACGCTTGCGCGTGAGTATGCCCGCTTGGCCTGATGGAGAAGTTAGCTGACAGATGCTTCTAGGTACTGCGGCATCCATTCCCCCGCCAGCGTTGTGAAATGTCTCGCCTGCAACAAATGGTTTTGCAGTGCCCGCGGCAACTCCAGCTCTTCCCACATCGTCAACCACCTCGTTCGAGCCCGTCATAAGGAAGTTCAGCTTCACCCACAGTCCTCGCTGGGTGATACGATTCTCGAGTGCTACAACTGCGGAACCAAAAATGTTTTCATGCTTGGCTTCATTCCGGCGAAATCCGATACTGTCGTGGTTCTCCTTTGCCGCCAGCCCTGTGCCGCAAGCACTTCGACCAAAGACATGAGCTGGGATATCTCGAGATGGCAGCCGCTCATCGAAGACCGGTCCTTCTTGAACTGGCTCGTCCAGCCGCCTACCGATACTGAGCAGCTTCGAGCGAGGCATCTTACCCCGCCGATGATCGCGAAACTGGAGGAGATGTGGAAGGAAACCCCGGGCGCCACCGTGGCTGACTTGGAAAAGAGCGCCGGAGTCGACGACGACCCGCACCCCGTGCTGCTGAAATACGATGACCCCTACCATTACCAGAACATCTTCGGCCCACTCGTCAAGATGGAGTCGGACTATGACAAGAAGCTCAAAGAAGCGCAGTCCGAGGACAATCTGCAGGTTCGCTGGGACGTCGGGCTCAACAACAAGAACGTGGCTAGCTTTATCTTACCCAAGATCGAATCGGGTGACGTCAAGCTGGCCGTGGGCGACGAGATGAGGCTCAAGTACAAGGGCGATCTCCGTACCCCGTGGGAAGGTGTGGGCTATGTGATCAAGATTCCCAACAACCAGTCGGACGAGGTCACACTCGAGTTGCGGAAATCGGGCAACGACAAGTCAGTTCCCACCGACGTCGCCACGAACTTTTCGGCCGATTATGTCTGGAAGGCCACGTCGTACGACCGGATGCAGTTCGCTATGAAGACGTTTGCCGTGGATGAGATGAGTCTCTCTGGCTACATCTTCCACAAGTTGCTCGGGCACGAGGTCGCAGTGGCTCCGATGAAGACGCAGATGCCTAAGAAGTTCCACGTCGCGGGCCTACCGGAACTGAACCATAGCCAGATCACGGCCATCAAGACGGTGCTTTCGAACCCGCTCAGCCTAATCCAGGGCCCTCCGGGCACTGGCAAGACTGTCACGTCGGCGACCATTATCTACCATCTGGCCAAGATCAATAATAGCCAGGTCTTGGTATGTGCACCATCTAACGTCGCCGTTGACCAGTTGTGCGAGCGCATCCACCGCACCGGCTTGAAGGTGGTCCGGTTGACGGCCAAGTCGCGCGAAGATGTCGAGTCGTCCGTCAGTTTTTTGGCCCTTCATGAACAGGTCCGCATGAACGATTCCAACACGGAGCTCACCAAGCTTGCTCGCCTAAAGGCCGACCAAGGCGAACTGTCGTCTCAGGACGAAAAGAAGTTCAAGCAGCTGACTCGTGCTGCCGAGCGCGAGATCCTTAACAACGCAGATGTCGTATGCTGCACCTGTGTGGGCGCCGGCGACCCGAGGCTTTCCAAGATGAAGTTCCGGAACGTCCTCATTGACGAGTCAACACAGTCTGCCGAGCCAGAATGCATGATTCCGCTCGTCCTGGGCTGCAAGCAGGTGGTCCTAGTAGGTGATCACAAGCAGCTTGGGCCAGTCATCATGAACAAAAAGGCGGCCAAAGCCGGTCTGAACCAGTCTCTGTTCGAGAGGTTGGTAAAGCTGAACTTTACACCCATCCGGCTGAACGTGCAATACCGAATGCACCCCTGCCTCTCGAAGTTCCCATCCAACATGTTTTACGATGGCTCACTTCAGAACGGTGTCACGGTCAGCGAGCGGCTCAGGACGGATGTAGACTTCCCCTGGCCGGTTGCCGACACGCCCATGATGTTCTGGTCAAACCTCGGCAACGAAGAAATTTCGGCATCTGGTACGTCTTACCTCAACCGTACCGAGGCTGCCAACGTCGAGAAGATCGTCACACGTTTCTTGAAGGCCGGTGTGAAGGCCCTCGACATCGGTGTCATCACTCCATACGAAGGCCAGCGGAGCTACATCGTCAGCACCATGCAAAATACCGGCACTTTCAAGAAGGAAACATACAAGGAGGTCGAGGTTGCCTCTGTGGACGCGTTCCAGGGCCGTGAGAAGGATTTCATCGTGCTGTCCTGTGTCCGTTCCAACGACAACCAGGGCATCGGTTTCTTGTCGGATCCCCGCCGTCTCAACGTCGCGCTCACTCGTGCTAAGTACGGTCTGGTCATCATCGGAAACCCCAAAGTTCTCTCCAAACACGAGCTGTGGCACCATCTCCTTGTCCATTTCAAGGACTGCAAGTGCCTAGTCGAGGGTCCTCTTACCAATCTGCAGACGTCACTGCTGCAGTTCAGCCGACCCAAAACTGCCTTCCGCCCTCCCCGGTACCCCCAACAAGCTCAGCATGTTGCGAGCGGCTATCCCAACGGCCGGCACAGTGGCGCGAACGGCTCGACCAGGGATTATGAGACGGGGTCGATGCTCTCGTTCATTCCAGACGACGTGTCGTCCATCCACAGCTCTGCCCTCGGCGGCGCCGGGCTAAGCTCCGCCTATCCGCACATGTTCTCGAACTTCCACCCCGAGCAGTGGCCTGGTTTGCCGGGTGTGAGCGCAGGTGGCCGCCCCGGCGCGAAGAGTCGCGGTCGCGGTGCCGAGAGCGTCGCTGGCGAGAGCGTTGCCAACAGCGAGTTCACCGATGCCAGCGCCAGCGTCATTGGTGCCAAGGGCGTCGGTCAAGGGGGGGCCAGTCTCGGTGCCGGCCTTAGCGAAGCGATTGGCGCGGCGAGGCCTACCTCTTACAGCCAGAGCGATCGTCTTAAGCAGTACGTCGAGAGCGGTGGCCGCATGGGGGCCGGCAACGGATATGGACGGCGCTTTGACGACGACGAGAAGAGCGTCAGCACCGCTTTTGCCAGTCAAATTGGATCTGGGTTCGACTGAGAGTTGAAAAGGAATCGTTGGTGGTTTACTTCTATGCAAACCAAGGACAGACACAGGCACCGCACTGAATCCTAGGAGCAGCAGCCTACCCGCCTGCACTCTCCGGACGCCGTCGAGCACGCGACCTCGGGCTCACAGGGGTCGCAGAATTCGCAGCCCAGGAAGAGTTGGGTAGATGCTTTCCAAAAGCACACCATCTCAACCGGCCGGGTACTCGCCCTTGGGCCGTCCGCCGCAGATTATTGCCCTGCGTTAGCCAAGCCATACCGCTTGACACCGCTCGCACGAAGAGCTCGATCAGCCTTGACAGTTGTGACTGCAAGCCAGGTTGCTGGGAACTCTTAGGTCGGCATGTATACCGGGGCAATTCAGAAGGAGTAGCTCATTGAGCTGTTTGGGGGTAGTCGACGGAGCAGCCACCGGCATTTGGTGGGAACGGCCATTCTGTTCTGACCCAGGGAGGTCGGAGGACAGGCTTAGCAGAGAATGGAGGGAAAGGGAAAGAAGCCGCTCATTTTAGGCCGAGACAAGCGTTCACTTCACAGCAAAACGGGAGCCCAACTTAGGGCTCTTGTATGATCCAACTGTCTTTAGCCATTCTTTTCTAAGGCAGTTGTTGGCTTTATCAAAATGATTAGCACAGACAAACACAGACAGAAAAGCAACAGACATTCGTTCTTTCACCGGGAGTCCGCCGCGGTGCATAGATGTTTCAGATATCAGGGGTGACTCTCCGTTTCCACCAAGCCTTCGTCCATGTACTCCCAGTGGCGGCTAACTCTTGATCGAATAGTAATGCCAAATTGTACCCACAGGACGCGCGGGATCCACGGGGCGCTTCAACCCACCACTCGATCTAGGCCAACGGATGAAACACAAGCAGTTTAACTCTTGGCGGGGCACCACTCGCAACTCGTAACGCCAAAGGACGGAGGGCTAGAGGCGTCTAAGCGCGAAGTTGCATCCCAAGATCTTGAATTCCCAGGGTCACAGTTGGCCAGACTAAGCCTCTTTCTCCTTGAAATAGACGGCCCCCGTTTCGCCTCATTTTCTTCTTTTGTTCTGCTGTCCCTCTTCACTTTTTCAGCTAGCTAACCAATGTTGCTGCCCAACTGCTTGCCACTCTCGTGTTCCTTCCTGAACCAACTGAATTCTCGCCCTGACAGCCAGCTTGGCAGCCTGGAACTATTCGATCCCATCCCCGTACATGGTATCTACCTGTACTAAATAAATACTGAGGTTGCCACCCGACTGCAACAACTCTACTCTCTGCAATTCACCTCATCACTCCCAGAGATCTCTTGACCCCACCACCCTTGAGCTAACCCCTCGTATTTTTGGGGTGTTCTTTAATTTACCGCCCTTCTAATTTATTGGGAATTTATTTCCTCCATTTTTCTCAAGATGGCATCACCGGAAGCTGTCCCAGCGGCCGCCGCCCCCAAGAACGGCAACGACTCCCCGGCCAAGCGGAGTATCGAGAGGAAGCCGGTTGCAGCAGGGCAGCCGACATCCCCGCCCCGGGCGACGAAACCGGAGTCGTCAGCACCCGCTCCAGATACAGCAGCAAAGTTGGAGGCCGCAGCGATCACAGGCGATGACGGCGTCAACCCCCTCGACTTTGAGGGCTCGGTCGAAACCAACCACGACCTCCCCACTCTGGAAACCATCCGCAAAATCGACAACTACACGGTGCTGGACCGCGATGGCAAATCGCACACCTTTCGGAGTTTGTACACCGGCCGCCACACCGCGCGACGAGTCCTGGTCATCTTTATCCGGCACTTCTACTGCGGTGTAAGCCACTCCCAGATCCTCCCCCCTCCTCTCGAGAAAGCAGCAGCCGAAAAAAAAAAGAATACTAACCCCCTCCAACACAGAACTGCCAACAATACCTACGCACGCTCTCCGAATCCATCACCCCGCCTTCCCTCCTCGCCCTCCCCCACTCCACCTTCATCTGCGTCATCGGGTGCGGCGACCCGGCCCTCATCAACATGTACGCCGACGCCTCCGCCTGCCCCTTCCCTCATCTACGCGGACCCCACGCGGCGCCTGTACGCCGAGCTGGGCATGGTGCGCACGCTGGCGCTGGGCGCCCGCCCCGCGTATATGAAGACGCATCTGCTCAAGAGCAGTGCGCTCAGTGTGGTGCAGGGGCTGAAGCAGATTGGGAAGGGGCTGGCGTTGAAGGGGGGGGATGGGAAGCAGGTGGGCGGGGAGTTTTTGTTTGAGCCTGTGGAGGTGGAGGGTGGGGGAGGGGGGGAAGAAGAGGATGGTGGTGGCGTCGACGCCGGGTGGGGGTCGAGCCGCCGAAGGCGTGGGCCGAGGATGGTGGTGAGGGGGAGGGGAAGGGGGGGCGGTCGGAGACGAGTTTGGACGGGAAGGGGGAGCCGGATGCGGAAGGGGAGGATAAGGTTGTTACGTGGTGCCATCGTATGAAGAATACGCGGGATCATGCTGAGGTGCCGGAGCTGATGGAGGTGCTGGGGTTGGATGGTGATGGGCGGCCCGTGGGGGATAAGGAGCGGTGGGAGCGGGCCGTGAGGGAGAGGAAGGGGACGGGGGTGAGTGTGGCAGGGCGGACGAGCAAGGAGGTCGGTGAGTCGGGGGCGGTGCTATAAGCCGTCAAGTAAGAAGGGCTTGGAGCGAAGGGAGAGAGGTGGGGAGATGAGAGGTCTTTGTCATGAGCTATGTTTTAATTGGTTTCTTGGTATGGTGTTTGGAGCGTGGGCTTTGTGTTTATTATTAGATGTAAATGATACCGTCTTCTCTACAGTTCTGTAGTGAGCGGTGATGTCTCCGCCCATGCATGTTAGTGCTCCCCAGTGGCTTGACTGTTGTATAACATACGGGAACTTTTCCCTGTCGCTCTGCTGTGACGACCTAGATGGTTGCGTCGCGGCGGCCACGGTCGTACAGGTACGCGTTAATCTCGACAATCAGCTACGTGGGCCGTATCTAGATGCGTAGGGAGGAACACAGCAACTCTGTCCTGCAAACTACTGCAAGCAAGTTGGCCTGCGATATCCGCCGCAGATCCGCGGGGATGAGCCCAGCCACTTGATGCGCTGCCGATGGCGGATAACCGAGTGTTGGTTGGTTTAAGGCGTGAACAACTCTGTAGTAAGTGATACCTTCATGTTTCCTCGTTAAACCTTCGGGTTGTTTCGCCAGTGCAACGGATCCCATGTTGTCAAGCCGCTTCGGTGAGAGGTGGCGCTGGCACATGGTAATAACTGCTCCCTGGTACCATGGCCCTTTTCTTCCCGGTTTCATCATCTCTTTCTCAACTATTATCTTGTAAAGCCTATTCGACACCAAGACGATGTGAATGTAGCTAAAATGCCACTCGTATGCGCCATCCCAGGCACTCCCGACCTCTACGGCATGGGCATCCGCGTTTCATTCTACCTCCTGTGGTTTTTTGTTCTCATCGGAGAGCGGTGCCACGAACATCACGCCCAAGTCCCCCGGGTTGTCGAGTTGGTCCTCGCCTATGCCGTCTTTCTCGGCTTGGCCATGGCGGCCTCGGGTGGGTATCTCTTTGCCGCCGAAGTGTATATCGCCCTGCTTCTAATCTCGACCACGGTGTATCTCCTCGTTCCCCGCCACACCACGGACCTAGTCGCGTGGATCCGCCCAGATCTTGGGCTCGGCACCCAACGTGGCAGATTCGGCTTTATTGCAGCTGCTCGCTGTCTCTTCGTTCTCGCGGTCATCAGCTTGCACATGTGGTTCTGGGGAACTGGTGTTGGTTCTGAATCCATCGACCGAAATCTGAGAGACCAGGGCGGGTGTTGTCCGTGTGAACTCCCGCAACAGGTCGGTTTTGCTTTTGGGCCGGTGGAGATGCATAGCGGCGGGTTTCGGGCCATGAACGTTCTTTTGATGTTAGCGCTGCTCGCTGGGGGGGTGGTTATTGGCGCGATGAAGGCGGGACTGATCAGGAGAAAGAAGTCGAGGCGGCAAAGGAGAGCTAAGTATGGTGTCACCGTGTGCTTTTGTATTGTTCCTCGAACTAACAGTGATAGTCGATCTCGAATTCGCATCTTAAAAGAAGTTGAAACGTTTGGCGGTCTGATAGTTGCAAGTATTCTCGTCGTCGCCATTGAACTGACCATTCAATGGAACGGGATCTCAGCTGCCGTCAACCAAGTAACGACTGCCGCTCAGTTGATACCCCCTCGGGAATTGTCATAGGGTTGATCGTGGTATTCCTGTACGATCTGAGAAGCGGTTCCTCTAGAGATGAGGAATAGCAACGGCGGAAGCAGCGAAAGCTACATCGGCAGTGGTGGTGTTGGCAGTGGCAGCAATGGCGGCAGCAGCAGCTCGGGCGCAGTCTCTTGTAACCCATCTTCGTCTTCTGGTGGCTGGAGTGGCGTTGTAAGATACTCGAGGTTCGTGTGCACCAGAGATGGATGGATGAGTAGTTGCTTAGGAAATATACTGACTAGTCTCCAGACCATGGGCTCCTCCTTCTTCACGTCCATTTTATCCACCTCCTGTGCAGGCTTTTACTCCTGTCTCGGCCCCCTATCCTCCCCCTCCTACGGCGAAGTCTGGCACATCCAGTTCAAATCAAGGCTCTGCTGTTTCTCAGAACTCCGACTCTGGTTCACATCCCCCAGATCCTCTTGACAACCTTACATGCAAGCCTCCTCCTCGCACTCCGCCAGAACCACCCCAGCCTCCTGCAGCAGTGGTGGCAGAACCCGAGGCTACAGAGGCTAGTTTACCTCCAAAGCCTAGGATTATTGATGTATCGCCTCCAAAAAAGCCGCGACCAAAGGGGCCGAGGCCTATGTCAATCCCTAAGTAGCATCCATCAGCGTCGCCTTGGAGATACTCTTGTCCCGAGGAGGGCCAGATGTCCGCGTTGAAAACGATGGCATAAAAACACCGTCTTCCAAAGCTCCGTCAACAAGATTAGAGTCGCAAAACTCGCCGAACAAGGAAAGAACAGATTCGTGCAGCTATCTTCAACCATGCAGACGCCAACTATTTTTTAAGCATCAATTTGATGAAAAAATATTCCAGTATCTAACTTGAAGGATCATCAATGTAGAATGGTGTGGTGACTTGCAAGAGATGTAGGGCAACTTGCCCTTGGGCTTTGTCGCGCCTTCCTCTATGGAAATCAGGCAACCAACTCAGCCACTTGGAAATCCCCGACAGACTTGGACAGTCGAGATGGAAACCCATTCTATCTGTCATTTCTGAATTTGTTATCGTTTCAAACTCCTCTCGAGAACAATACATCGGCGTTTAGCATGGGTTAGAGGGCAAACTAGCACACTCTCACCTTCCACAACATACTTTTACCATGCGTCCATCAATCGATAGACCGCCCCTGGAAGAGCCATGGGCTAAGAGACTTCGAGCAACGAGATCTCAGAGTGTCAAGTCCCAGGAACGGCGGGGCTCAGATCACCTCCCCTCCCCTAAGCCAACAAACCCAAGCAGCACCGACAACGTCCCGTCCTCCTCGTCGTCGATCGACCACAAGGCACAACAAACGCAAAATGCAGTCCAGTCTCTCCGAGAACGCCTCGCCCCACTGCCCAAAAAGCCCACACCTCTATCGCCGGCAGAAGATGTAGCAGCCAAGAAACCGCCTTCCAAACCTTCCGTGGCCCCTTTTTTCCGACGCATCGGGGCCGCCTTTCAAGACAAGCCAGCGACCGCCATCAAACCAAACCACATCAATACCACCGCCGCAAGAGCCCCAGCTCGCTCCCCATCCCCAAGCGCAGACGATCTAATCCAGCAGCTCAAAGGTTCTATCCCCCCTACAACCCCTTTTTCATCCCCCCAGCTCCTGTCCCTGCGTTTCCCCGGCAACCAACCCCAAACTAACCCCTGACGCCGCACCCGGCACACGAAACGAGCAGAACACTACCTCCAAACAGCCACCACGCTCCACAAGAGCGCCACGCTGCGACTAGCCCAGACGCACGCCGACCTCACGCGCCAGCTGACGCGGTCGCTCACGGATGGGGGCGCCGACGCGGCCTTCCTCGACGAGACAGAGACGCGCATCAAGAAGCTGGCGCAGCCGCTCGCCAAGTTCCGCATCCGCTCGCAGCAGCGCGGTGCTGATGGGGTGCTGCGCAGCGAGGAAGATGCTGTGGGTGAGCTGATCGCCCGCGCGGAGGCGCAGGTGAGTGTGTTTGAGACCGAGGTGGCCGGGTTGTGGGCGGAGTGGACGGCTGCGGAGGGTGAGGTGAAGGAGTTGTTGAAGGGGGTTGTGTCGTTTGCTGGTGTTTCTGGGGGAGGGAAAGGGGAAGGTGGGGGGGGGATTGGCGGAGCGGATGGGGGCGATGAAGGGGAGGTGATGGTGAAGCGGTTTAGGGAGGCAATTGAGCGGGAGATTGCAGAGGCTGAGGAGGAGGTGGCTGAAATTGGGGAGGAGGCAGTAGGGGTGATGAAAGATATTGAGAAGGTGAGTTGGGAAAGGATGTTAAGGAGTGGTAGGTTGCTAACTAGGGAGCAGGACTTTAGGAAGGCTACGCTGCCCGATTTACACACTTTCTTTCAGTCCATTGACGAGCCGTGAGGTTGGCAGGGAGGCTGGGCTGCCTATTTGGTGGGATTTGGGGTTGTCTGTCTGTGCTGGAATTTGATTCAAGTTGCTTGTGTTTTACCATGGCTTGGGAGAAGTTGCCCAAAATCATGTACAGCACCATGTTGGCCTAAGCCTGATCATGATTACAAGTTGAGGCCCAGTCACCTGAGTTGTCCATCTCTTCGTTGTTCCGTCCTGCACTGAGCTCAACACGGCCCAGCGGTGCCACCGGAATGGCTGCGAGGACAAATCAGCCTAGAAAACTGTTCTAACTTCGCAAGGAATATTCAAGTTCGTGTTGTATATACTCGGCCCTGCGTAATGAGAGCATTCTTTTCTGGGCGAGGAGGGAAGGGGGGGTGCTAAATGGAGACCGTATGTATTCCACTATCTTCCGAGAGATAGGGTATATTCTGACTCTTGGGCCGGCGATGTTGCGCTATCTGGGCAATACGAAACCATCATGTTCGGCTCGTCGCCAGCGGCGGGTAGGGACTAGATTATTATCCCTTTGTTCATCAAAGGGATGGAAGGCCATAGAACGGGGGGGGACGTCGAACGAATTAAAGGGGGTTCCGGCCCGGGAAAGAAAGATGCGCGGCCCGGCATCTGCATCCCAATTCATCGGGATGCCGACACGGGGATTTGGTAGCCAGTAGACCAATCGACCCCAAGCGAGGCAGAGAACAAGTTTGGGAGTTAACAGTGGGGAGGGGTAACTGCTTTTATGTAGCCGGGCTACGCAGCGGTTGGAGCAGTCGTGTGCGCTCTTTCTCACTCAAATGTGGTTCATGTAAAGGGAGATACCCTGGTTTTAATGCTTGCGACTTTCTCACCCCCAAAGAAAGCATCTGCATCGCATGTTGATATGTCTACCAACTCTAAGCCTGTATGCCGCTAATTCATGACATGCTCAACCGCCCGCCCACCCCAAACGCCTCTCTTAAAGCCACTTTTGGCCGCACACAGCGCGGCACTGACTCTAAGCAATGCAAGAAAGAAATACCCCCAAATTCAGATTTACTGCTTCTCCTCGACGACGACGCCCCAGGGGTGCTGCTCGTTGCCGTACATGATGTCGGTCATCCAGCCCTTGATCTTGGCCGTGTACTGGCCGCTCTCGCCCTTGGCCATGGGGATGTGGATGTCGTGCTCGCGGTGGCGGATTTGCGAGACGGGGCAGATGAAGAACTGAAGGGGTTGTTGTCAGTCCACAGCTCCAATATGAAACAAGACAAATAAAAAAGAGGGAACATACCGCTGTCCCAGCCGCAAACGACTCGACCAGTCTGCCCTCCTTATCCGCCTCAATCACCTCATCAATGGTATACTTCCGCTCCACCACGTCCACCTCGCCCTTCAACCGCTCGCGCGCCAGCTCCACCACACTTCGCCGTGTCACACCATCCAGAATCAACTTGTCATCCAACGGCGCCGTGACCATCTCCAACCCGCCCTCCTTCGTACGCCACACCACAAAAAAGTTACTCGCGCCCGCCTCGGTACAATACCCCTCGGGCCCATACAACCACAGGATCTGCCCAAACCCGCGCGAGCGCGCCTCGTTCGTGGCCAACAGACTCGGCCCATAGTTGGCCCCGACCTTGGCGTACCCAAACCCGCCCACCCACGCGCGGATCATGTCCTCCGGGTTGGTGTGCAGCCGCATCCCGCCCGCGGGGGCATCCATGCGCGGCATAAACGACGCCGTGATGAAGAGCAGGGCCTCCTTGGAGGCCTGGACACCGAGCTGGGGCTGGGTGCCGATGACGGCCGGGCGCAGGTACAGGTAGGAGCCGGGCCGGTCGCGCGGCAGCCACTTGGGCCCGTCGACGGCCATGAGGGCGAGGATGAGCTTCTCGAGCTCGGCGGGGGAGAAGCCCGGGAGGGAGATGCGGAGGCTCGACATCAGCATGCGCTTGGCGTTGAGGTCCGGGCGGAAGAGGCGGAGCCCGCCGTCGTGGCCGCGGTAGGCTTTGAGCCCTTCGAAGCATTCCGTGGCGTAGTGCAGGACCGAGGCCGTCGGCATGAGGGAGAGCGGGCCGTAGGGCTTGAGTTCCGGCGCGGCCCAGCCCGTGGCCGCGTTCCAGCTGACGGTGATCATGTGGTCGGTGCAGATGGTCTCGTTGCCGGAGCAGGCGGCTACTTCGTCCGGGACGGCGCGGGCCGTGGGGTCGGCCCGGGTGATGGTCAGCTTGGAGGCGTCCAGGCCTGGGAGGGTGCTGGTGTCGTTGCCGTTGATGTGGCCCGGTGGCGCCGTTGCTGTGCCCGTTTGGTCTTGCCATTAGCCAGGGCTGGCTCCTCAGCGATCTTGTGCTCCATGGCGGGTTGAGGTGAGATCCTCGGCCGTAGTGTTTTGGGGGATCATGGTGGGTGGATGATGTCGGCGTGTCTTGTCTCTTGGGTTATGGATGGTGAGGATATGGTGGTGCCAGACAAAGAAAGTCTTCTTAAGGGCAAGATGGCAAAGAGAAGGAAAGTGACTGTTTCGGGGGAGTCACGAGGGGGGCGAACCAAGACTTTTTAAAGTCTCGGTCTAAGAGCTCAAGTGACTACAACTTGCTAGTACCGGGGTGTGGGTTTCAAGGGCAGTCGGGTTCAACTTTTGAAGACTCAGGGCCGATTGGTCAATTCGTTGCCCCCAGAGTTATCCGCACGGCCAGCCTCGTCGTTGATAGGGCGTGCGGAGTTGGCAGGGGCTCGTACATACATGTCCACGGTAAACAAATGCAGAGATTCTGTACCTGCAATACCGAGATTCCGGTTCGCTGTGCCGGAGGTTTCCGCTCTTGGGTGGGCGGCTACCCATCTCGCCGGTCTGATTTGCTGAAATAACAGATAAAATGACCTACATACCACGTATGGTGACAAGAATACCAAGAATGTTCCCTTACTATCTGCAAGGGCGCTGGCACTGTGTCTGCCGCGTACAATGTGTGACTATTCGATATCGGTCTTCATCCTCCCCACGTCGATACCCCATCACGCCTCCGAGAAACGGAGTCTCGAGCCATCTATCTTCGAAGTGGCGTTGACTGTTCTTTGGCATGGCGAACATGGCATCCTATTTTCAGTACTTCTTGACTCATAAGCGGTGGGACTGGTGGCTTCATCTGAAAAGATGTGGAAAGGCCGAGTCGCGAGGTTGTGGAGTCGTTTGAGAATGGCCGAGTTCGCAGGTGAGTCCCTGCAGAGAGGCTTCGAGATGCAACATCGGACGCGTGACAGATTGTCCACCGGGTCAATCGCTGATTTTATCATGTCAATGGTGTTCAGGATCCACTGAATCCCGACACAACGCGCTGGAAAGCGTTGCGCTTTCTCTTCCAAGAGCCAGGATCAAACTTTCTAGGCAGTTTATCAATTGGCCCGCCTGTAACCGGCAATAGGCGCAGTGGCTAGCGGAGAGATACCGCCGCACCGCCTGCACGTGCCCGCCACACCGCCCAATCGGGAGCTTATCGCAGCGACCCCATTGTGCCCCACCAGACCTCGAAGCCCGCCCCCCAAGAACCCCGAGACCCCCAAAACAATGAAGAAATGCCCCGCAGTTTCACAGCGCCGACTCGCCCTGCCCGCCGTCGCGATCGGCACCCTAGTTGGCCGTTTCGTGGCCGTGTCTCACCCGCCCGTGCTACCCGATCGAGGTCGGAAGCGGTGTCGAAGCTGGGCGTGTCTGGGCGTGTTCGGTCACCTGGACAATCATTCAGTCATTAACAAGTCATCGCGCACTTGCTCTCTCCACAGCTTCATTCCAGGATTTCCCTTTCTCCATCTCAACTACCTGCACTAGGTTGATAGCTGAAGGCCTGAAGGTCTGAGGGGGTGCGCGCACATCAACCATGCCCCGGCCACTGCTCCGGGTCGCCGGTGCCGGTGCCGGTCAAGGCTCCACGTGGAAGCCGGATGACCACCGGAACCGGCAAGGACGTCAAACCTGTCGAACGCCCGAGGCCTCTCGCCAACAACAGCAGCCCTACCTTCTTCAGCATCCTCACGAAATCTGACACGCGTCGAGGCCGGTTTCCCGGCACGAGCGCCAACAACTCATCGTCGTGGCCTCAGGGAGGGTCCCTTAGCGCCTTGGTCAGCGGTGCTGAATCAAGCTACTCTCAAAATGTCACAAAGAGGACAAAGGCCCGCCCGCGTTTCGCTCCCACGGATAAATAGCCTTCCGCATCGAGTGATGCCAGATGGCACGATGGGAGCAGAGACCTGCATAATGGGGGCCTGCCGCCGTGATTGGACCCCCCACTCATGGCGATGTGGTGCGGTTGTCGCCCAACCTGTATGCCTGAACTCAGCTCCAGCTTCACAAACACACTCCCCGAGGTCTATCCATCTGCTCATGGTGATGATGGTGATGTCGTTCGTCTCTCCTGTGAGAGCCATTGTGTTCTGTTTTTAAAGCAATTCTCTGTAGTTTTACCCCTGAACCAATTCTTGATGGTTTTGACATTCGTAAACCCGCTTTTTCTTTCTCTTTCCCCCCTCCCAATCCGCCAGCGCCATGTCTAAAGACGCCAAGGACTCATCTAAACCCAAGCCCGACGGCCTCCGACAACCTCAAAGAAAAGACTCGCTTTCGTCTGTCTTGTCATGGGCTGCCTTGCAGGGCAAGATCACCACGTCCAAGCCTCAGACCTCCTCGTCTTCTCCATCAACCCCTACACCGTCTCCCTCTACCCAGCCTCATCATCATCATCATCCCCCCGCCAACGGTACTAGGCAGCGAAGACACAGCCATAGCACCAGCTCCGACTCAAAAACGAAGGCACGTAGAGGTTCCACAGCATTTCGAAGATTTTCGTTTTCCTTCTCGACAACGATCCAGGATGGGGCTAGTACTAAGACGAGACATTCAAAGACACCCATGACACCAGACCCGAAAGCCTCTCCGGGGACCTCCAAGGCCGGCAAGAGCAGCTCCTCCGAGAAAGTAAACAAGGCCGCCGCCCCCGACAGCCAAGATGGCAAGCAGCATTCCGCCCCGTCCCGCCCGCAGAGTGCCGGAGACAAGCCCAGGTAGTTTTTATTGTCTGTCTTGTTTATTGCCTCAATGTTGTTTGCTAACGACGCCTCTCTAGATCCCCCTTAGCGCCCATACCTATGCCCAAATCCATCCTCCGGATTTCTAGTCCGGATGGTTACAGGCGCCAGAGCCAGTTCGGCACTCCAGCAACAGCAGGCGAACCCACCAGCCCCGATCTTCCCTCTTCCCCCGCAACCCCTACCTTCGAAACCGTGCTCTCAGCCCCCGACTACCCCCCCTCTAACCTCATCACCCACCTCCCCCACCCCCCGGGCCCATGTCCCCCGTCAACCGGCCCATGTCTCCCGGCACGACGGTGCGCTTCGCCAAAGCGACCGTCCACCGCGTCGAGGTCGGGCCCGGCCGCCGCTTCCTGCCCGTCAAGCGCAAGAGCAAGAGCACGCTGACCTACATCTCCCCGCTCGACCCGGGCGCCCAGAAGAGCGCCCCCAAGACCATGCTGCAGAGCCCCACCAAGCTGCGCCGTCATCAGGAGAACCAGGCCGCCATGGGCCGCTACTGGCTCCGCACCGAGGAGGAGGAGGCCCAGTGGCGCGCCGAGGCCGAAAGGCGCGCCGTCGAGGAGGCTGAGCGGTATCGTAACGAGCCAGCGAGCCCGCCGCCGCGGGCGGCTGTGGGTGCTGTGGCCAAGGTGGATGGGGCGGTGAGCAGGGGTAGGGAGGAGATCGACAAGCTGCCGCTGTTGGATGGCGGTGGGCCGGCGGGGTCGGATAAGGTCGAGGAAGAGACGGTGGCGGGGTCGGACGACGAGGATACCGACGACGAGACCGGCGTCAGGTGCGATGCCGAGGACGACGCTGCGTCCGTTACGTCGAAGGGGTCAAGGAGGTCGATCAACCTGAGGCCGAGTGCCAGCATTGTCGCGCTGCGGGCCGCTAGGGCCGCTGCCGCAGCGACAGAGTCGGGCAACAACAGACCTGCGGAAATCAAGTCCTTCTCTGAGAGGCTGGCCGAGAAGCAAGCCGCCGAAGAACGCCGAAACCGACCAGGCTCCCCAACCATCCCCGCCAAGTCCGACGCCGAGAGCTCCAAGTCAGCCCGCTCCTCCACCAGCTCCCTCGTCAAAGAGAAGCCGCCGGCGGCGGCGGCAGCAGCAGCAGGCGCAGTATCGGTCCGCCCAAGCACCACCAGCACCAACGGCAACCCCAGCAGCAACAACAACGTACCCAGCGCCAGCACAGACGAGAAACTCACCAGAACCCCGTCCCGCGAGAAGGAAAAGGAAAAGGACAAGGCGAGGGACCGTCCACGGACGTTGGCCAGCTCCAAGTCGTACATGAACCTGCGGTCGGCCAACGACAGGGCCCAGAGGCTGTCTACCTCGCGCTCGGCGGGTCATGTCGGCAATAGCATCAGCCACGGCAGCAGCAACAGCAACAGCAGCGGCAATACCCACAGCCACAGCCATAGCAACAGCAGCAGCAGCGCTGGCAGCGGCGGCAGCAACAACAGCAACCACAACAGCAACAACCATTTGCATTTATCCGGGCGCAGGGGCAGGCGGTATTTTGATGACCACAAGCAGGGGATCACGGCCTAATCGGGTTCTTTTCTTCTCTTTTTTTCCTTCCGCTCTCTGATGTCAGGGAGTCATGCATATTTCACGGTGATGGCGTTCGTTCCTCTTCGGCCATTTTACTTTTTCTCATGTCTAAACCACCGGCGGCACTTTTGCTTTTTGCATTGTCTCCTCACATATTCCTTTCGTATTTCTCTCTCGGCATCTCGGTTTACGGCATGGCATGGCACGGTATAACGGTTATGGTTCCCGGTCTTTTTCTTTTCTTGGGGCTTCCCCCCCTTTCCTTCCCAAGCGTCTTATGTTTATCAGGGGACAAGGATGTTAAGAATAGAGGGAGACTTTCTTCAACACGATCCGGATCGCGAGTTTGGCTATAACTATCTATACCAGACATCCAGACATTCAAACTCTAATCATCGTCGAGTGAATACCAACGACATTTCCATCATCCGTTCCGCTATGCAATGAGGATATCTTTCTTTCCATACCCAGAAAACCCCCGCCGTCCAAACGCCACCCACCAAACCATTCGCTGATGATGCTTCCACTTCGGGTCACTCCAGCGTTGCATTCCTCAAACAACCACTCCTCGTCCTTCCCTCCGCGCCTCACCACCCTCGCCCTCACCACCCTCATCTCACCACCCTCATCTCACCACTCCCACATCACATCCTTCATCCCACATCCCACACCCTCACTAACCGCCTCACATCAACCCACTCAACACCACCCTCCCCACACTAGCCACCTCGGCCCTCCCCCCCGCCCTCGCCCCATCCTCAAACTCCCTCACCGCCGCCTGAAGAAACAACTTCCTGATGCGCCCATCCGCCTTGGTAAACAGCTCGGCCACCGCGCCCCCGCAGTCCCGCGCCGTAGGCACCAGGCTCAGCAGCCGCGAGTACGTGTCGATCAGCACGTCGCACAGCGTGGCAAAGGTCTCGAAGAAGTCCGGGTCGAAGGGCAGCGTCGGCGTGAGCAGGTACGTGTACTCCTCCCCCGGCAGCAGGTCGACCTCGGACGCGCCGAACGCCATCACGCCCCCCGCTGCGGCGTCGGCGGTTGCGACTGCTGTCCCCGGGACGGTGGGGGTGGGGGTGGGGTTGTTGGGGTTGGGGGTTGGTGGGTGCCGGGGGTGGTGGCGGTGGTGGGGCCGCCCGCGCCCGGGTTGTTGCTGTCGACTTGCTCGAGGGTGTAGCCAATGCTGGAGGCGTCGCTGGCCTCGCGGCCGGCGGCCGAGCTGCTGCGGCGGCCCTTGGAGACGGGGGCGGCGGCGCGGCGGAACATTTGCGGGATGCGCGTGCGTGTGAGGGACGTGGCCGCGATGCCGGTCTCGGTGTGGATTTGTTGGAAGGCGTCGAACTCGGCGAGGAGCGTGTTGAGCGAGCGGAGGAATTCGACGGGCGTGTGCGAGTTGAGGTCGATCACGGCGGGTAGCGAGATGCCGAGCAGGAGGTAGTTGGTCGCGCGCCGGCCGAGCTTGCGCGCGTCGAAGTAGGGCATGCGTAGGAGGTCGGGCTTGTCGAAGAGGAGCGTGTTGAACCAGTAGATGCGCCCTTCGTGGCTGTTTGGGGTTGTCAGTGTACCGCTGCCTGGGGGGTGGATGTTGGAAAAGGGGCCTGTGGGGGAAAGCTCACGCTTTTCGTAGATAGTCGAGGGTGGATATCCTCTTGGTCGCTGTTTCCTGTATGTGTTGGTGGACGACGTTCAGCTCACCGCCCTGCTGTCCCCATGCCACTACCACTGAGCATAGATCCCGAACCGCTGGCGTTGTAGCCGGGTATCGGCGTCGCGGCGCCGCGGCTGAGCATCTTCGTGAGGCCGTCGGTAGTCTTGGGCGAGGGGTCGGGGAGCGGTGGGACGGAGTCTTCGGAATGCAACTGGGTCGTAGACGGGCGGCGGTGGGCAAGGTTGGGTATAGCAATTCCGCCGCCATCAGGTGGTGGCCCGGGATTCGAGGTGCCCGAGTCGGCACGGCGGCGTTTGGCCTTCTTGCTGGGCGACGACAAGAAAACAAAGGACGACTTGCGGCCAAACGAAGGTTTGCGGTCCTTGGTTAGCGTCTTTGGCTGCCGGGGGCTACCACCGGAAACCTCCTCGGCCGGGCTCGTCGGCCGCTGGGCTGTTTTGCTGGTGGGGGAAAGCGGGGGGTTTGGGTTCGGGTTTTTGGTGTTGTCGGTGCCGCCGCCGCCGCCAAAGAGGGTCGAAAAGAAAGGGGCGGCCGACTGCGTCGGAGTGGTTGCCGAACGCTGCATGTCGTGCGTCTTTTAGAGTTAGGCGGCCCTGTTTAGGTAGCGAAATGCAGCGCTGTCATTTGCTGCCGCTGTTTTAGCGTCCCAAATCGGGCAGGAGGCGCCGCTGGGCTGGAAGGTGGGGGATGCTAGGGTCTTTGCTCTTCGCAAAAGCAGGTTTAGCTTTGAGGAAGAAAACTTCGAAGACAGTGAAGATTGTTAATAACTAACACCAAATGAAGGAGGAGGGTGGAAGGGGGAGGGAGTGGCAGCGGCCCACTGGCATTAAAGCTGTTCCCATGGTAAAATACTGTGGTAGAGCGTGACGGCAGAACTTCAGGGATCTTCCCAGGCGCTGTGTTCGGTCGACAGGGTCTTTGACCCATGTCATCCCATCCCATCCATCGCAAGAGAAGCCTTTCACGGCATGAAAAAGCGGCGTGGATGGGTTGCGATTCAGCCGCCAGAGGCAGTCACACAGTCTATCCAATCGCCCGGTGATGGGTTTGTAGATCACCGGGTAAGCCGCGGATGGCGTCCCAAGGTACTACTTTACGTGGGAAGAGAAATATAAAATGGTTGAATCTCGGTGATTCGGCCGTCTTGCCCGACTGATGCCTCGGGCATCCATCACGTTGTGTGAGAAAGCAAAAGCCAGGCCATCCCGCTTCTGCTGGGCGGATAGCCTGAGCTCCCAAGCGAGACTTCTCAGGACCTCCCTAGAAGTGGGGGAGGGGCACGAGGGGCAGTCGTGCCTAAGAGCTGTGGATGGGCACCTTTAGGGCCTCGCTTGCAGGCTCGATTCAGAGCTCCGCAATCAGGTCTCTGAAATGAGCAGCCACCTTGCTTTTCATCACCAACCCCTTTTGTCCAGAGTCAATTATCGCTTCAGATTGGTGCACTGACACGGTCTATATATATTCCACCCGCACCATTGACGCAGTGTCATTGTCTAAGTCAAGCTCCTCCTGCTTTAGACATTGGGCAGTCTGCATCTCTATTTGTGTTGAACTCGATTCACTCAAATACTTGAACAATGTCTGCTACCGAGAATGTACTTCCGCCTGGTGATCCCGCGCCCGAGCTACTCGACGGGCGTCTCTGGGTTGACGGCTGTTTTGACTTCTTCCACCATGGTAAGCTTTCGATATTCCGCGGCGAGGTCACTGCCGGTTGCTAGCGACCTAGTTGCTAACCCCCGCAGGACATGCTGGTGCTGTAGTTCAAGCTCGGCAGCTGGGCGACGAACTCTACGTTGGCGTCCACTCCGACGAGGCCATCCTCGAAAACAAGGGGCCTACGGTTATGAACCTCAAAGAGCGGTAATAATCTCTCTGCCTCATCCCCCGCCCCCGCCTCTTCACACATCCCACCACTAACCCCCCCCAACCAGCCTCCTCGCCATCGACGCCTGCCGCTGGGTGACCAAGTCGATCGCGCACGCGCCCTACGTCACGCAGCTCGACTGGATAAGCCACTTCGGGTGCCGGTACGTGGTGCACGGGGACGACATCACGTCGGACAGCGGCGGCGAGGACTGCTACCGCTTCGTCAAGGCGGCCGACCGCTTCCGCGTCGTTAAGCGCACGCCCTCCATCTCCACCACCGACCTCGTCGGCCGCATGCTGCTGTGCACCCGCGGCCACTTCATCCACTCGCTCGAGCGCACCCTCGCCGGCCTCGAAGGGCCCGGCACCGAGGCCGAGCGCCGCGCCGAGGGCCAGGCTATGACGGAGCGTGTCCGGCTGTATGCGACAGATGAGACGGCGAAGCGGGCTGGTGCGGATGTCTGGTTTTGGGGCGCCGACAATGGGTTCAGGGAGCTGTTCAAGGGTGTGGGACCGAAGCCGGGGCAGAGGGTGGTCTATGTGGATGGTGGGTTTGATCTGTTTTCGAGCGGGCACATCGAGTTCCTGCGGTTGGTGACCGAGGCGGAGGAGGAGCTGGCTAGGAAAGACGGCTGGTACTCGGAGCAGGCTGTGGACGAGAGGAAAGGCAAGGGCGCCGACTACGGCCCGGTGTTCGTCGTGGCGGGCGTCCACGACGACGAGGTCATCAACAAGTGGAAGGGTGTCAACTATCCCATCATGAACATTTATGAGCGCGGTCTCTGCGTTTTACAGTGTCGGGTAAGTTTGCTTGGAGCTATCCGAGAGGGTTTTGGCTGATGATGGCTTTGCAAGTACGTCAACGCTGTCATCTTCGGCGCCCCCTTTACGCCCACCAAGAGCTACCTCACTTCGCTTCCGTGGGGCACACCGGATGCTGTCTACCACGGCCCGACATCCTTCATGCCCTTTACCGAGGACGTCTACACAGAGCCCAAGGAGATGAGCATCTACCGCGAAATCGGCCACCACGAGTTCGAGGACGTCAATGCCGGGACCATTGTGCAGAGGATAATGAAGAGCCGAGACCTTTACGAAGCTCGACAGAAGGCCAAGGAGATGAAGGCCCGATCTCGAAGCTGCCCACAAGGAGCGCGAGTTGCTCGAGGAAGAGCAGCGCAAGAAGGAGGCGGCGCGGTAGAATGCGCGCCGTTGAGTCATGGTCAGGAACCAGGTGCTTTAAGTTCAACCACGGAATGGGAGCAGGATAAAAGGAGCGATTGGCTTCAACAGGCCTCAGAACTGTTAGAGTCTCCATAGACATCAAATTAACAACTATCTAAGATGAAATAAAATAGAGGATTGGACAGTCCATCAGATACCATAACGCATTTTTGAGTCATCAACGGGGTCACACGACGATTTACGCCGGCTCCACCTCAGAGCTTGACTCTATAAAGGTTTATCATCACCTAGACTGTCCGATCCTTCAGACTCCGTGTCAAGCAGCCAGCAGCGTGGACAAGGGACCTCCCGCGAAGCCTAGAGTTTGTGTTTGTCCAGCTGGGTACCGACTGCAAAGCGCGGGACTGAAACGACCCTGTGTTGGTTGAAGCCCCCCTCGCACCAAGAATGAGCCCCGTCGAGTTACTCGCCGCTGTTTCCAGACGGCGAGCAATCGCATTTCTGTGAAATCGTGACGAAATCTCTCGAGCCAGCCATAACGCTCCCCAGCCCAGACCGGACCAGCGGCAGCCCACCATCGGCCAGTTACCCTGGCAACAAGGACAGCAAATCACGTCCCAGACAGCCAGAGCGCGGACTCATATCTTCGTCCTGATGATGGCCCCGGCCCGGGAATCGGACTGCTGCAAACCTTGTACCAGAGAAGTCGGCCGACTTTGGAGTGATGAGCCGGGCGGTGCCAGACAGGCAAGGAACAGGCGGCCGAGATCAGCCGCAGTGCTTCTATGGCGGCGCGTTTCCGCGACCAGCTTCCGAGTGAGGGAAGGTGGATGTCCGGGGACTTTTCCCAAAGCTTGTGAAAAATGAAAGAGCAAACACTCTCTCCGTATGTGAGCTTCGAATAGCGATTTTTTGGACGAGGGGGACTTGGAGAAAGAGGAAAGAAAAACAATCGATTTACAGAGATCGAGAATTTTTAAAGGATTAATTTTTCGGGAAAGTGGGGCATCAGCAGAGGCATGGCCCAAGCTTTGCTATCTGCTTTAAGGTTACACAGCAGAGGTGTGTGCCTAGCGAGTGGCAAGCGCTCGCGCCGCGTCGAGGCTGGGGATCGAAGCTCAATTCCGTCGAAAAGCATCATCATCACCAAAAAACCACTGTCAACACGTCAACTTCACAACAACCACATCCGCCTACGCATTCACGATTATTCAAATCCGTTCAACCGAACCCCCAAATAACAAGCATCTAGCAGTTGATTGAGTACCCACGACGATGGCGGGCCTTTTCGGAGCGCAGCCGGCGGCGGCAAGCAACACGCTCGGCGACCTGAAGCAGGATGTCGAGCTCGGGAGCCCACCCGAAGACAGCATCTCCGCGCTTGCCTTTAACCCAAACCCGACCGACCAAAAAGATTTTCTAGCCGTGGCAAGCTGGGACAAGAAAGTTCGCATCTACGAAATCATGAGCAACGGTCAAGGCCAAGGGAAAGCGCAAATAGAACACGACGGTCCGGTCTTCTCGGTTGACTTCTTCAAGGTGCGTTGGCATTTTCTTCCAGTACATGACGGAAGACGGGTCTGACGGTTTCAAAGGACGGTCAAAAGGTCATCTCGGCCGGCGCCGACAAGCAGGCCAAAGTGCTAGACCTGGCGACCGGACAGGCCGCCCAGGTAGCACAGCACGACCAGCCGATCCGCTGCGTGCGGTATTTCGAGGCCAACGGCACGCCGATGGCCGTAACCGGGTCGTGGGACAAGACAGTCAAATACTGGGACTTCCGAAGCCCGCAACCCGCCGGGTCTATTACCTGTCAAGAGCGTGTTTACACCATGGATGTACGACAAAACCTCTTGGTCGTGGGCACGGCCGATCGGTACATCAACGTGATTAATCTTGGGGAGCCGGCGAAGTTCTACAAGACATTGCAAAGCCCGCTCAAGTGGCAGACCCGGGTCGTCAGTTGCTTCACCGACTCACAAGGCTTCGCGATTGGCAGTATCGAGGGCCGCTGCGCTATCCAATATGTCGAGGACAAAGACTCTAAGTAAGTGGTTTATTGATTTCCCACTCTCCATATTTCTCGCCTTGCAAACCGCTAACACAAACCCCCAGCTCCAACTTCTCCTTCAAGTGCCACCGCGACCCGCCACAGGGCAACGTGACCAACGTGCACGCGGTCAACGACATCTCGTTCCACCCGCAACACGGCACGTTCAGCACGGCGGGCAGCGACGGCACGTTCCACTTCTGGGACAAGGACGCCAAGCACCGGCTCAAGGGGTACCCACAGGTCGGGGGCAGCATCACAGCGACCAAGTTCAACAAGACAGGCAACATCTTTGCCTATGCCATCAGCTACGACTGGTCCAAGGGCTACCAGGGCAACACGAGCAACTATCCCAACAAAGTCATGTTGCACCCAGTGCTGCCAGACGAGTGCAAGCCCCGCCCCAGCGTCAAGAAGAGGTAGAACCGCTCGACGACGCCCCCGGATCAGAGTGGGTTGTTTGCGACGGTGCTTGACGGGGACAGGGGACCCTCGGGGAGCGACATGACGATGGCGCCGAAGAAAAGGGCTGCGTCGGCGAAACCGGGCGATTATATTAAGTGGAGGCAGAACATGGGGGGGATGAAAGACACCAGCTGAGATAAATAGTGTACTTGAATTACAGACAATCTCGGTGGTGCACGGTTAATTAGGGTGGTGGATAACTAAGCGCAGTTTCAATTTGCACAGTGGCACAGAAAAGCGTCCTCAACACTTGGGTTTTCAGACATTCTGCGCTCTGAGGACTCGGTCCGTAGCGAGTGTGAAGTAAACAAGCAACCTAAAAACAGCCCGCGGTTGAGCACTGGGCCCGCCTTTCAGGTGGAGCAATTACAACCATAAATAAACAGTATCGTCATGCCGTTTTAAATCAAACCCTCCAATCACCTCAAGATAGAGAGATAAACGGACATTTTCCCTCCCTCCAAAAAAAAAAAAACTACCACCACCCATCATCAACCCGCATCCAAAACCTCCTTCACTATCAAGCAGGCGCAGCCCCCTTGCCACCACTACTCCTCCCCACGGGTCCAAGCACATCCTCCACCATCCCCCTCCACAAATCCCGAATCATACCCGGCCCCATCTCATAACTTTCCTCAGCCTCCTTCTCCCGACCCAGCAGATGCACAAACCCCAGCTCCACGCCATCCACCCCCATCCCCTCCACCTCCGTCAGCGCCGCGGGCAGCACGCGCGACGGGTCGGCGGCGACGACCAGGATCTCGGGCTGCCGCAGCGGCTCGTCGGCCGCCTCGGGCTGCCGCGGGTGCAGCGGCGAGGGGGACGTGTTGTCCGGCAGGAGGGGCACCCGGATGTGCGCGTAGGGGTCTATGGGCGTGGAGGTGTCGAAGGAGAGGTCCGGCAGGATGGCCCGGTCGATCGTGCTGAAGGTTGGGGCGATGGGTTTGGGCGCCGAGTGGTGGAAGGTTTGCATGAAGGGGATGGTGCGCGTGGTCGGCGCGGTGATGACCGGCCGGTGGGGGGTTGTGGTGGTGGTGGCGTGGGTGGAGTGTTGACGCTGGGGGGAGAGGAGGGTTAGTGATGCTTGCTCGGTCTTGCTCTTGCTCTAGGAGAGGCGAAAGCGGGTTGATAGAGGATGTTTGCTTGCTTACTTCGGACGGTTCGTCAACGGCGGGCTTGGTTATCCTGCCTGCGCCGGTGGCTGCTGCAGCTGCTTTTGATGCATGGTTGAGAAGGTGGCTCGGCCGGGCCACGGCGGGTGTGGTGCTGAAGCAGCGGGTGAGTTGGGCGACGGGAGTGGCAAGTCGTGATGACATGGCGATGGGGGGGGGGTGACTTGGACGGATCTACGGGGAGTTGTTGGGTGGATTGGTTGATGGAAATGCGATGACAGAACAAACGCAGCAGGAACAATCGGACAAGTAGAGAGCTCAGAGTGCAGTGTGGCAGATCGGAGGGGAAGCTTTGATCAGGTGCTCAAAGGGGGAGCGGCAGGTATAAGTGACTAACAAGGCGGACTCCGACTGGGGAATGGTGGAAGGAGCTCCCGCCAGATCAGCGTTGCGTACCACAGTCTCCCTCCCATCCACCCCTCACCATTCCCTGACACTTGGTGGGCCGCTTAAATTTGGAGACATGGCCTCGACGTGGTTGCACAACGAAGCTTGGATAAAATGGTTGTGCTGCAGACTGCAGACTGCAGACTAACTACGAGACAGCAACCATTGGTGTCACGTCCCGGCTTGTTTCACGCTCCAATGAATCGAGGCCCATGCCGATCGGTCTTCGATCGTTCCGGTCCTTATCTCTCTCTTCAGACGGCACGGCACCAAAGTGATCAATGCCAATGCCGGACACCCAGTTTTGACATTGCAACTTTCTCTCGTGGCTCCAGACTTTTTACGCACGCGTGTCTTGTCTCAACGATACCCGCCGGTTTCGCTCGCCTCCCCTTGTCGATTCATCTCGATAATCCCAACGGACGGGGCTATCAGCTCCCTGGCCCCGGTCAATTGCACAGCGCTGACTGGCGGTGAACCCACATTGTTGAGGGAGCTTGGGCCATCCAAGGTCCCGCCCAGACTGAGGCGGTCAACCTTCAGAGCTATCAGCTGGGGTGCGGCCTCATCGAGTTTAGCGCGGGTTCCGGGCTTCGTCAACAAATCTCGGGTCCAGCAAACCGAGTCCCGGACCGTTTCGGACCGAGTTCCGGTCACCCCAGGGAGCCCACGTTTCTGTAGGAGTATCCGAGTCATCCGATAACTAAATGTCCGGCTTGGGGTTTCGGACGGTTGAGAAGAGTGATGACTAGGGAAAAAAGAAACGGGGAAAGAGGGGGAGTATCAGTCATATTATATCCATTGTATTTGACGCTCGACACTCCTGTTTGCAAACACCGGGGTTAGGGTTGGCTACAAACCTCCTCGGCTTCGAGGCTCCGTGGCTCTCCGACCCCGTGGGGTTGTCGATGACTGACATCCGTCGGGATGGAGTTTGAGCGGCTTTCCCGAGGCCCGTACAGCCAACTTAATGCCATGCCAAGACCCCAGAGCCGTAGACTCCCTCGGGCAAACGAGTAGCGACGGGCTGGAAGGATGGAGACAAGCACGTGTCGAGGAGTGGAAGATGTTACTTCATCCTCCTCCCCTTTCTCGAGGGCTGACAATAGCCGGGTATGTACTTCGTACATATGTATAAGTTAAGTGAATACCCTCGCTTGCTGTCCAGCACTGCCTAGTAGTGTGTTGATGGTAGAGTGTGAACAATTCCGTAGCTGCAAGTGGATGAGTCTTTCACATGTCTGCACTAAGTAAGTTGCCCCCAGTGGTCTTGGCTAGACTATGACTATGAGTTTGTTTGCAGTGATGCAAACGTGAAAGGAGAAGCCAAGGTACCTATATGGTGAGTGCACTATGAAAGACCTGTATTTGAACACCACAACTTACACACAACCCTGTACCATAAACTCAATTGGGACCTCCCTTTATATCTTTTTGAAAACCAAAAGCTAATACTGGGTTTTCATGGCTGCCCCTTGTCAACATCTGGGTATTTCTTTATCTTAAGGCAGTTCAAGCAGAGTGCGGCCGTTGATGTGCTGATACAAACATCAACACTCTGGGCTGTTTGTATACCACGATGAGAATGTTTGTTAGGGATGCGAGAATGCACGAAACATGCTTGCATCGTTTTGTAATTCCCTCCTACCCGTTCCCAAATACCCAGTGGTGTGCCTACCCATTGCTGTCAGATGGCCTCTTTGGATCGCTGGCTGGTATCGCCTTCCCGCCCTCGTGCTCAAGGTCGAGCAGTCGCATGGCGTTCGGTCCGTTAGTTGCCCCCGTCCAGCGAGGGGTATTTCCAAACGAGGGGTATTCTGGAGCCTTCCCATTTATTTTTATAATATCACCTTTTAAACTTGGCCGCATGACATTGCATTGTCGTCAACGTGGACCTGATCCAAACCACCTCAACCGAGCACACAACCACCTCCTTTGCAACCGATTAAGCAACAGCAGCATTTTGATAAATATATTCAAGATGGAGGGTTGCGGTACTGTTGACAATCCTGTCAGCGTGGAGGCATACGTCTACGACGGCAAGCCCGAACATATCATAGGCGTGGTCCTCACCGGCCCCCCGGAAGAACGAGGTAGAACGTATGGAAGGTGGCTGCGCCACCAGATCCAGGCCAACGTCGACTGGCACAAAGGGCACCCGCATTTGCCATTGTGGTAAGTCGGGAGGTTCTAGAAGAATCGACGGGGAGGCTGACCGTCTCAACCAGGGACACTTGCGTCAAAATTGCCGAAGCGCACTACTTACCTGGCCTGCGGGAATACTGGACAGGAGGGTGGAGGGAACTGCAGGGAATGTCGGAGACTAGCGGCGTCCCCGTCGCACATTTGGTTGTGCTAAACGCGCGGGATGACATCGCCGCACTCGTTCCTTTTAAAGAGCGCGCGAGTGAAAGCACCAGCGTCTTCTTTTCCGATCGGGCGACCGCCAATAATACCCCCATCGTTGCCCAGTCCTGGACTTCAGTCGGGCCCCCGCGCGACACAGAGTTTCTAGTCTGCATCAAGATCAAATACCCGATTGCCGAAAATAAGGCCGACATCATTATGGTGACCGAGGCTGGCAGGATCAGCGGTTGCGGCATGAATGCCAAAGGAATGGTGGCCACGGGGAACCGGTTGTTTTCAACGGACGATGGTCGGGGGACGAGCGCGGAAGGGTTCTTTCCCAGGACATGCTTCGAGCGTTTCGTACTCGAGTATAATGACATTGACACAGTGCCATACATCCCCGACGATACCCCGGCGAATACATCGAGACATATCCTCGCCGTCGACAAGACTGGACGTTATACTTCACTAGAGCTCGGTCCAGAGCACATCTTCTCCCACCGCGGCGAGTTTCTTGTGCACGGAAACCACTTCCAGTCGTTCCATGCATTCTGCCACCGCCGCGAGCTGCAGGATCGGTACAGAGGCAAATGGAGCCAGACCAGGGTCTCCCGATTCAATGAACTGATCAAGCGGAACGAGGGCGGCGTGTCCAGGCAGCAGATCATGGACATGTTCTCGGACCACAAAGGCAGGCCGGAAAGCATCTGCCAGCACGTGGGCAGCGCCGTGGACTGCTCGACGATGGCGTTCGTCATGTTCGACGTGAAACGGCGGGTTATCTCGCTGTGCAAAGGGCCCCCGTGTAGCGGTGTCATGTCACACTTCACTTTTGACGGAGGCGAGGCCGCCGCAGCCGATAATAAGAGATTAGAAGGCACCAAAGCTGGTCCTATGGGCTCCAAATCGGATTCTGTGGGCACGAAAGAGGAGACGAATGCGAACAACGAGGCACGGGTCGAGGCCGTGAGCAAGGCTGCCTGCCCTCCTTCTCCGAGGCCAACTCCGGCGAGGGACCCTACTGCATAGGACAGGCAGGGTCCTACAACCGTGGAGAGGAATTGCAACAAAGCCGAGCCGCCCCCAGTTTCTGACCTGCCCCAGCTTTTGTCTCGGGAGTCGACTGCTTCCGACAAATCTGAGAATTCTAAGCGCAAGACACCACCGACCACACCAGCCTCTAACAGGCCCTCTCCTGATATGACAGCACCCTCGGCTTCGGGTAAGAACCTGGAGGAACCAGAAAATGCTCGTCCAAAGAAGAAGACCAAGTTCTGGGATCCGGTTAGGGATGAGTTTATACAGCCTGTGACCATGGCGCTGGATAGGCAATTAGGTTAGGGGTATCAAGCATGGCTTTACTTTGTAGGGTTTATAATGTACTTGTAGCTCAAGTAAAGGAAAAAACAATTAATCAAAATCATCAAAACCATGAACGTGGGAAAGCAGGATGGAAAGGCCGTTTGATGCCAAGAAGTGATGCACGCGACCCCTGTTCAGTGCCCTCCCCCTGGTCCACAGCCCGTTCAGCCAGTGTCAGCCCAGAAGCCACACCCAATGAGCGGGCAGCCTAGCCATGCTTGAGCAAGGGTCTTTGCCGCAACCATCAGGCCGGCATTATTTGTGGTCAAGCTGTCCTCAAGCATTGGTGATGCGCCGAGAGTGTTGTTGGTGCTGACGGACTTCGGATCTTCAATTCGATTCAACTTTTTGCGCCTGCTGCGCGCACTCGATTCCTGCGATGCGCATGCGGATTGACCTTTGATACGCCAATTTCCACCACCGAGAGACTCGATCTCGCTCGCTTTTCGTCTTGTCCATCGAGGGCTCCCGCCCGAATTCCTGGTGTTGGCGTTGCACCAACCCCTCGACGACCTACCAACTCGAAGAAATTACGAGGCCAGTGACCGCATAGTCACACCACCGCCGCCACGATGAACGGCTACGACGAGAAGCGTCACCTCGACGACGATGCCTTCGGCGCAAAAGGCGGCATCGTCAGCGCCTTTGACGCATTCCGTATGCCCTCTCCCACTTCCCCCACCTTCCATGTCCACAACCCCTCCACCACCCAACTACCTATCCAGTTACCCATCCATCCACTAACCACCCACCCCCCACCCCACAGCCAAAGCCAAACCCCAATACGTCCAACACACCTCCTCCGGCGGCAAATGGACCGTCGCCATGATCGTCATCAGCGCCGTGCTCTTCTGGACCGAGCTAGCACGGTGGTGGCGCGGCGAGGAGCAGCACACCTTCGCGGTCGAGAAAGCCGTCTCCCACGTGCTGCCCATCAACCTGGACATCGTCGTGCGCATGCGCTGCGCTGACCTGCACGTCAACGTGCAGGACGCCGCGGGGGACCGGATCCTGGCGGCGGGCGCCCTGACAAGGGACGGCACGCTGTGGTCGCATTGGGTGGATGGGCACGGGGTGCATCGGCTGGGGCGGGATGCGCAGGGCAGGGTGGTGACGGGCGAGGGGTATGCGATGGAGCATGATGAGGGGTTTGGCGAGGA